GCTTGTTAATAAAGTTGAGGTTATGTTCTTGGCTTGTCGGTATGTGTGAGCTAATTAACATTAGGGACATCTATTCATTATTTTCTGGTAGGGTGCAAGAAGTTTGGCTCTACCTATGGGCATTTTGCCGGCCAGTCAAAAACACTGATCTTCTGCCACAGATAAAGGTGCGTATAAGGAACAGAAGGTTGAAGCTTTTGGTAGATGTTCGTTTGAAAATGACTTCTTCGTAGCATCTTTGAAATCCGTTGTTTAGGTTGCTCTTCAGGTTATTTTATCCTCTTCTACGTTCACCGAGCTTTTATCCAGTCCATATTTTCTTAGAGTCAGCTGCTCTAGTCCTTTCTCTCCACTTTCGCATTGCTGGAACCATTTCAACCGAGAGGTGCCTGAAGCATCCTGATGCGGCGAGGGCAGGAACCGCAGACAGGGACCTTTGGGATATCGAAACTTGCTGCTAAAGCAAATCGGGAATTGTCATTTAGCCAGTGGTGGAGTCTGGTTGTAGGTCTTGGCCCTAAAAATAGAGAGAAGGCTAAAGGTCTGAGTGCATAGCCCCTAGGAAAATTTCGCGCTGCTACGTTCTAAAGACTCTCAGAAAAGGGGGCTACGCTTATGAAAATACATTGGAATCAAGAGCACAGTCCAACTTCATTCTTGAAATTTCTTTCAACCCAATATCAACCATATAGGGAGGCTGCACCCAATCCTACGTCAAATAAAAACAAAAAGTTGTTCTAGTGGCCATATACTTGGCTTGATTATGATATAATGTTTGAAACTTCTCTAAACATACTGCAATCGTGAGAGCAAAAGCAGATCTTTCTGTGAATGGATCTAGCTCTAACTATCTTGATGTCACATGTGAAGTTCCACAGGGCTCTGTCGTTGGCCCCCTTCTCTTCCTAATTTTTATTAATGATCTTCCTAATTCATCATCCTTGCTCTCCTTCTATTTATTTGCGGATGATACAAACATCTACTTTGAGGCTGAAAGTCTGGATATGCTACAAAGAGTAGTTAATAATGAATTTAAAAAGGTTAAAAAATGGCTAGATGTAAACAAGCTGTCACTAAATGTTAATAAAACTAATTTCATAAAGTCCCCGCAACATTCATCATCAGAAACAGTAAATATTAAGATTGTAAATGAACTGATACAGCAATGTAGCTATGTAAATTTCCTTGGTGTTTTTTTAGATGCAAATCTTAGCTGGAGATATAATTTATCCGAATTTTCAAAAAAATTGGCTAAAACATGTGGCATGTTTTTCAAGGTAAGATATTTTCTTCCACTAGATGTTCTGATCTGTCTATACAATTCATTATTCTCTTCTTTTCTCCAGTATAATAGCCTGGGGCTTTACACACGATGTTCATATCAAACCTATTTATCTGCTGCGAAAGAGAGTGGTAAAAGCCATTGCCTTTGAACATTTCACTGCACTCTCCACTCCTATCTTTTTAAACTTGAAGATTTTGAAGCTTGAAGACCTCTTCCCGTTAAAATTGCTTTGCTTTGTTTATTATTCTGTCAATAAGAACTCACCGAGCTGCTTTCACAACTTATTTGAATCTGTGTCAAATACTCATCAATATGGTACACGGCAAGCCACAAAAAATGACACTTTCTTAATACGGAACAATACTCTACAATATGGTATCAGGTCTGTACGTTTCCTTGGTGCTAAATCCTAGAACAATATCCCTGTAGATATAAAAATATCATTGTCTGTTGTCAGCTTTTCTCAAAAGCTTAAAACCTTTTTATTCAACAATAACTATCAAATTTGATTTTGAAGCAAAATTTATAGTTTTGTCATTCATGTAAATGATCAATTACTTCAAAAACTACCCTAAAAAAGGGGGTGCTCTCTCCTCGATTAGTTTATCTACTGAGAGAGCTCCTCCTAAAGAAATTCCCCTACAAACAACATCTTATGTAATCGCTTTTTATTGTTATTGAGTATGTTATGTAATGTGTTAACGTTGTATGTAATTGTTCACCTGAGTTGCTTATTTGTCGAATGGTATGACTAATGAATATGTTTTTGTTGATAAAGCGAGCCATTTATTAGACGTATCGTATAATGTTTTACAATTTTCCCTCGTTTCAGGGTTTGTATAAAGTAGAAACTGAATTGCCAAAGGGCTTCAATCCTTACGAAAAATGGATTCTTAAATGCTTGTCTGGGATCTTGCTGATTTTGCTCCAAGGAGAACAGACTTAGTTTTAAACTTTTCAGTACTGTATATGATACCTTACACAATTAAGAATATAAACGTTAGAGGAATTGTGAAGGAAGTAGATAGGTAAGCCACAAAAAGACACATATGATCATTACTGTGCTTGATTAGCCAACCAATTACCACGTAAAAGAACCAAAGCTTTTTCAAACGTATTCACAAAATGGGGCGTTTCCCAAATCATTAAGGGTGTGGCCAGTAAAAATTTCGTGGGGGCAGTCCTCTTCCTCACGGGCTCCTCTTTGTCCCTCCAACCCTAGCTACACCACTGGTCAATAGGTGTATTTTCCATGAAACAAAATGTTTTCCCACCCTTCCTCATCCCCCGCTTCCTCATCCCCCCTTATTAATGTTGGTTTACTACGAAAAGACGCAGGGGATTAGAAAGTGCGCTTTTTTCCTGTTTATTCTAAAATATTTTTCTAAATTATCAACATTGTTTAGGGGGAAGGGGGTGCGGAAATAGGAGTATTCGGGATAAATTGGAAAATATAGAAAAACAAGAAAATTGCCGAGTGTTCGAAGTACTTTTGGCAATGATTGTACATATTGTTGTAAGTTCCCCTGTCGTAATCACATTATTTGGTACGCATTCAGAGGCTTTTCAAGCCCAAGCCCACAAAGATGAGAAATTCTTATCAAAAATATCTTTAAATTTCCTCTCCAGCCAAATTTTGCACTTGCATTTTACTGGCTAATCTAAGGGAGTTGAACCTGCTGATCACGAATTCGTTGTTTTGGATTTTTTTAAAAGGTAATGTGTCCATATAAAAGGACTGCGTATACCCAACTTGTCAAGCCACCCATCAAAATAACGGTTTGCGATTGGTTAGTATTCTGTCTGGTACCCAGGGTAATGAAAAGCTAACCTCTCAGCAGGATAGATATACAGGACGACCGTAATGGCTGAGGCGATGACATGAAAAATCACGTTTCTAAAAACCCCCGCAGAGTCGCTTGCTTTAGCTGGACACATCACATTTAAAGTTTGTAAGATGTAATCTCTTGCAATTCGATAATTGAATTGAATTAGCCGACAAAAATTTTTCGGTTTGGTGACACTGTGACGCAATTTTAACGTCACTGTGCATTTCGTTAGTCTCGCTCTCGCCTCAAACCGAATCGAACGACGGCGATTCGCAAATTGAACACTGTGCAAGTGATGATACTCTCAGTTCTGCTCCACCGGTTTTTAGTTTGAGCATTTCAGACACCAATTCTGAAGCCTATATTTGTTCATCGTTTCTGGAGAACAACTGAAGTGTCAGTTTCGTTTAATTATACGCGAGGGAAGAGCTGGAACAGGAAGCCATAGCTTTGTGGGCCTACACAGGTGAACAAAACAAAGTCGTGACACAGCATGGACACATTCCGACCCGCAGACTTAGAATGATTGTAAACATTTGATATTTTTCGATCCTAAAAAGCTCCTGCTGTAGAATTAGATGCAGTTATCAACGCGTGACCATGACACCTTTACACTTCGGTGGAAGATATACTAAATTCATGGCGAACGAGAGCCGCACATTGTGACGTCAGAATGTCACCAAATTGATTCGGTTTTTGTCGTTTTTTCTCGGAAAGGTGCAACTTTAAAGCCTTATAACTTCTAAACTAATTGGAATTTTGCAAAAACGACGACTTTGCCATAATACACTCACCAGATGCCAACTTTTCAGTCACTAAAAAAATTTGTTTTGGCTAGAGAGGCCCTTTAATATTCCATAATAGTATCAATAAAAGAGGCCTAAAATGACGGAAATTACCAATTTCCGGTACTTGTGACTTGCGTATATGGTGACGTCATCAATACTTTGACACATTATAGTTTTTAACTGGTTAATTTTAGGATATATGTTTCTAAGCATTTTTTGTTCAATTCTTTATAATCTTCCGATTGATGTTGTTTGTTTTCAAATTTGACGATTTTCATTTTTTCCTGACCGTTAAAATTGATCACGTGACATCTAGGGAGAAATTTTTTTGGACACTCTCAAATTTCAAGGTATTAGTCCAAGGAAGTGGAAGCAAGTGAAAAATCTCCGGTCACCCTCTCCGCCAGTTTGTAAGGAAAAATTTCCTGGAAAAATTCCCTGTCATAACTCTCAATGACTGTATCTACCATACTTTATTCATAGACGTTTGTCATTATTGTTTCTATTATTGACAGTTTGTTATAATGGCAGGATTATCACTTATAATTTTTTACTGTGGTATCATATACGGGCTCCTTAAGCCAAGGGTGACCCCTCTGACCCCCCCACCCCCTCCTCAGTACTGTTCACTTTTATGACATATAGCAGACCTGAAAGAATGGTCCATGGGTGGTAGTGCAACCATAGATAATGGAATAGAGACTCTATTCCATTATCTTTGGTGCAACCGAGCCCTTATAAACAACTAACACAATAAGATGACTCTGAAGTAGTGAGAGGGGAGGCATTCCTGAATTATGACGTAGTTTGTTGAGTTTTAAGTATGTATTGTTCGATAATTTTTAATTACAATGTAATATTGATAGTGTGTTGCGAATGCAGAACTATACAACATGGATAAATATATTAACTGCGAAATCAATTTGAAAATTATGGGTAATAAATGCTAATTGATGGTATTTGAAATTTTAATTGTAATTTTTCTTTGTCTTCTCGCTTATTCGAATTGTTGCCCCCTTTTACCGGTCATTTAGACCTTGCAAAGATCCGTAGATAGAGCGCCTTCCCGTAGTATGAGTGCCCGCCTGTATGTGTTGACCCTTGGGCAGTCGAACACGAACAACCGGACTCGTGCTCGAACTATATATCAACATTATTATCTGGAGGGCAAATGAGATTTGCATATCATTGAAATCCTTCGTGAAAAGCGAGGAACGCAGTATTAGCTCCTGACCTGGCTGTTTGGTGGATGTAGCAGCTCCACGTGCATATCTTAAAAACATTAGGACGTTAAGGTGAGTTGAACATTTTTGGGACATATAAAACAAAATAGATAAGAATAGCATGCCGGTATTTTCTTTCTAAGCTGAATTTTCGCGTCTACAGAGAACGTCCACCTTATTTTATTGTTTCTGGTCTCCCTCATTGCTCCAAGGGAAGTTCAGTGATGAAACGTAAGGATGAACATCCGCAGGTTTCGAAGGCATCGTACAAATATTTAATATTGAAAACAATGCTAAACTGTAGGCAGATTACCTATTTTCAATTTATAGCCCGAAGTCCTACGCATCGAAATGTAGCTTGCATCACATATTCATAGGTAATTCAATTATGTAACTAGAACTGTTAATAAGAAACAAGAGATTGCCGCAAACGTACTCGTTTATTATTTCCACATATACCATACCACACTAACTTTCCCGGCCTCTAAACGACGGACTGGAATAATTGTACGCGTGAATTTAATGTTTTTTTGTCTTTCAAACACATATTTCTCTCTATACAGATAATTGTTTTCCAAATAGGCAGTGATAAATGTTAGGAAGCGGACATGTTCTTTTCCTCTCTTCTGTGTATCTTTTGCGTGGCCCTGTTTCTTACGAAATGGACGGAGAAAAAGGATCCGGTTAATCCATTTACTTCATAGCTACTGAGTTGACCAAAAGATTAAGAACACTTTCATAATTGTTACAGTTTACGGAGCTGTCTACCAACAAAGCGTGACATTTTATGTTGAACTTTGCCAACAATGAATCCATACGGTTAAGTCCTTATCTAATGAGATCGCTGTGAGTTGTCAGATTTAAAATTATCATTCGAACTTAAATTGAAAGGACCTCGTCGGTTTGAGACCTTGAGAGGCTCATTTACCCTCGAAAACACACTTAATAAAAAGTATTGATTAAAAGACCTCTGATATCTACTTGTGATATTTGTTGGGAAGACGAACCAGCATTTGTCTGAAGGTCGGTTGGCTTTTCAAAATTTAGCATTATGCCCAGTTAAAGTCAATGTTATCGTTTTCACGTTGATTGATATATAATATAGTAGGAGTACTCGTGGGACCTATGGGAATACGCCAATCTCGAATAAAATGAGGAAGGAAATTTAGAGAAACGGGAGGCACGCGAAGATTGAAAATGAAACTTTGGTCTAAATTATGCAACTATGATAAATAATAAGTTTGATTAATTGCTGTAAAGAACCATAAAATGCGAATTTTTCCTTCGCTCAAATGCGCATGCCCATATGATGCACTTTCGTCTCCCAAACAAATATGGTGCAGGGTTAAGGCCTAGGGCTTTTGTATGGAGAACATAATCCCAGCTTCCAGATTGTGAACCACGAAGTGAAATTTTGCCCTCCTATAGAATTCTTTTTTTCGTTTTGCGTTTATATGGCAAACATTTCAGCCCGATTGAGTGAGATCCCACTGCCTGAGAGGTGATTTTGATTTTTGGGTCACTTAGGAAGGATGATTTTTTCCATATAAACACTGGAAGGTGGGATAAAGCTGGAAGGTGGCATCAGATTTTATCCCAACTGCCAGCACATAGGCTGGAAGGCTGGATGATTTTCTCCATTTACGGCTGGAAGGTGGGATAGAATCTGCATGTGAACATTAAATGATTTAATCCCACCTGCCAGGTTATGGACTGAAATGTGGGATAAATTTGGTCATACAAACCAGTTGTGATACAAGAGGGGGCGGGGGGGGGGGCTACAGCGCCCCGTCGGAGCTACTTAGCCCACCCGTCGGATAATAAACGAAGAAAATCTTTAATTTTGTCGAAGCAAGATTTTGCTAACGTTTGTGAAGATTTTAAGGAAAAGAAGGAGTAACGGTTACGATTGCAAAAATCCCAACTAAGCATAAATGTACTCCCAACTCCCAAGTAATTTACACACCATATCGGGAAACTTAACCCTCTCTTTCGGCATACCAAACGGCAATCGGACTGTCAATATAAGAAAAAAATTTCAATAACACTGGGACAAAATTTCAAAAGATAAGAAACTAAAACAAGTATGGAAGCAGCCCCCTATACTAGCATTAAATAGACATAAAAACATTGGAGATCCCACACTTTGGGAAACATTGGTGACACAACATCCCCCCCCTCCCCCCCCCCTCAGATTCGGCAGATTCGGCAGTTTTGGTGTTATATAGTCGATGGTATATTTGATAGTTTTTATTTTAATTTCGATTTGATTCTCGTCACTCATTGGTACGTTAATATTCTAATTGTTAAATGGCAAACTGAAGCCAATGAGAACCAAACTCCACATTACAATGTTTTAGGGTTGGGTGCGCGAATAATGAGATTTCGATTTGATTCTCGTCACTCATTGGTACGTTAATATTCTAACTGTTAAATGGCAAACTGAAGCCAATGAGAACCAAACTCCACATTACAATGTTTTAGGGTTGGGTGCGCGAATAATGAGAATAGCGTTTCGCCTGTGGATAGCTATTAATTCTAAGAGTAAGGTTGTATTGCAAAGGTAGAAAAATTGCTCCAACGAGACATTTTCCAGCAAGCTGGAATCATCAAAGTTCGAAAATTTACTCACCTTCTGCGGCAACCATGGTGCCGCCTCAGGTAGTAACTTTCATGTACGTGTTTATTGCGACACCAGCATCTGCAAGCATCATCCACAGACTTACCCTACCTAGGTAAAATTGGTCCCCTACTCTGTTTAATAATTAAATGACGTCTTTTTTATACCCAGAAAGGCTTAAGGCGTTGAGAATTTTGAAAATCACGGGAAAAGATCTACAAAAAACTTTCTTACTATGTCTTTTTCATTAGGGACATTTTGTCAAAAAAGCGAGTGCCCCACAAAAATTAATATCCCCGCTCTTAAGACAGATTTTCGTAGCGATAGAGTAGGACCGTGATCTACTTTCTGCGAATCGAATTTTTTCGCTGCGAAATCTGAGAACATTACACCACGCATGGTCACATTAGCAAAAATTCGATTCGCGCGAAAGAATTCGCCTAGTGGAAATCGGCCTTACAGAGCTGCTCTTTCTTGTTTGTTGAATTCATGTTCTGTCATAATCTCAATGTTTGTGCGTCTGGGATTCCATGTTTTCTCTCCGATTGCCTAACCCCCCTATCGGAAGGCCAAGCCCCTCTGTCGGAGAATTTCTAGCGCCACCACTGATATAAACAGGGCAGGGCGACTAAGGAATTCTCGCAGGTAAAAACATATAGAAGCAAACACCGAAATTTCTTCTTGCTTGCCTTTACTTCACTTGCGTTAATCATTGTATATGGCCGTGGTCTGTTCATGAGAGTGTTAATCTTGGCATGGATTTCCGGTCTATGCAAGAGTGGAGTTAAACGTCCAAGGTATAGAATTTTACCACATCATACAAACACCTTCATATTTAAGACTTTTGGCCACCTCGATTTTATAGTTTCATTTCATAGGACGATCCTGATATGAAGTTGTGGGCTTATTAAAGCAAAAACATCAAGGCCCTGTCCACGCTACAGAAACTAACCCAGGTTCGCCAAGGTAACGCCAGGGTTCGGGTTATATTTAACCTAGGGCGAACCCTATTTTTTCCACACATGATTTTCATGTTTTGTAATGTGGACGCAAAGTCGGGGCGAACCCAGGTTAGCTAATGCTACAGATGCGTAGTTAAACTACAACAACAAAACAACGACAACAAAACAAATATTCAACAAACACGATCAAGATGGGAGTTGCCGAAGTCACAGTTTATTGTATTTAGTCTAAAATGTTTTTCCTGGCAATCAGTGGCGGTTTTAAGGGGGGTCCAGGGGGCCATAGCCCCAGGCCCCTTGCTAATGACAGCCAAAAGGGGCCCCACACCTAACACAAAGATGGAAATTTTAAAGGACAAGGGCCCGCATATTTTTTTGCCCCCGGCCCCACAACCCCTAAAACCGCCACGCAATAGCCTTTCTCTTTCTCTTTTCTGCTCTATAGCCACATTTTTGATCACACTGGTAACATGAGCAGAAGGCATTTTTCCCTACTCACTGTAAAGGGGCATTTTTTTAAAAGCGATTTTTCTTTCTTTGAATTAATCATCCCATCCACCACACTCACCTGTATGTTACGTTTGTGGTATTAAGCAGAAATGATCACAACCTAAAATTACGTTTTTAAGGAGCTGACTTCCCAACCTCCAGTTGATCTTTTGGCACTATATCAAATATTGGCAGAAATATCAAAGCACACAAATCGGCTTCAGAATACCACAACCGTCTTTAACAGGACACAGAAAAATCACATGGCTTTAAAATAATATTTGGAACAACAAGAGCACATTTTGTTCTAGACCAATCAGCGGGTTTGTTTACAAAATGTCATTAGCCAATCACCGGCTTCCATTTCAAGCTTGATTTTTCAATATTTCAGATCAAGACACAGTTGCTGTGGAGCAAAACCTACCCTCATACTTTTGTCCGGGAAAAAAATTTACGTTTTTCTACGAAGAAGATTTTTTAAACTTACATTCTAGAGTAATTTTTTGGTACGAATCTAGGAGCCCTAAGCAGGAACACAAACGGTTGGTAAAATGTCTGCAGTGAAACATTACCTATTTTCCACCTCGGCCCTACCGCCAAAAATGCCTGGCCCCTAATTTACTCTATATGAAGTATTTGTTAATTAAACAAGTAAACATTTTAAGATTTTAGTTACCTGATAGTTTGCGCAAACAAATCACCCAGCTATCACCTGGGAATAATGTATTTTCTTAAAAAAACTAGGCTTTATATTTGCCTATTCCCTCCTCTACACTACCGCACGGGATGCCTAGGCCCTTTCCGAACCTCCTTCCTGGTCACCACAGTCCATGAGACTCAAACCACTTTTGTGAAGCCATCAGTCTATAGTTTGAAGCCAAAAAGACCAAAATATTGGCAATACTTTCAATTCAATTTTTTTAAAGAAATCATCTTTTTAAAAAGTAACAAAAACCCACTTTTACAGGACAGTCTCAAAGCCTTGAAACCTTACTGACACC